GGTGACGATGTCGCCGCTGCTGACTTCACCTCTCCCACTCGTCCCTCTCAGCCTCTCCTCTCCGCCCCCCCCCCTCGTCACTCCCCCCCTCGCCTCTCCCTTCCTCGTCTCTCTCCTCCTCCTCCATCGCAGCAACGACTCGTTCAGGAAGTCCGCATTTCCACACTCATAATCCATACTACACATAAGCATTGCACTCATAATCCATACTACACATAAGCATATAACTCATAATACATACTACACATAAGCATTGCACTCATAATACATACTACACATAAGCATTGCACTCATAATCCATACTACACATAAGCATTGCACTCATAATACATACTACACATAAGCATTGAACTCATAATCCATACTACACATAAGCATTTCACTCATAATCCATAGTACACATAAGCATTGCACTCATAATCCATACTACACATAAGCATTGCACTCATAATCCATACTACACATAAGCATTGCACTCATAATACATACTACACATAAGCATTGCACTCATAATCCATACTACACATAAGCATTGCACTCATAATCCATACTACACATAAGCATTGCACTCATAATACATACTACACATAAGCATTGCACTCATAATACATACTACACATAAGCATTGCACTCATAATCCATACTACACATAAAAATTGCACTCATAATACATACTACACATAATCATTGCACTCATAATCCATACTACACATAAGCATTGCACTCATAATACATACTACACATAAGCATTGCACTCATAATACATACTACACATAAGCATTGCACTCATAATACATACTACACATAAGCATTGCACTCATAATCCATACTACACATAAGCATTGCACTCATAATACATACTACACATAAGCATTGCACTCATAATACATACTACACATAAGCATTGAACTCATAATCCATACTACACATAAGCATTGAACTCATAATCCATAGTACACATAAGCATTGCACTCATAATCCATACTACACATAAGCATTGCACTCATAATCCATACTACACATAAGCATTGCACTCATAATACATACTACACATAAGCATTGCACTCATAATCCATACTACACATAAGCATTGCACTCATAATACATACTACACATAAGCATTGCACTCATAATCCATACTACACATAAGCATTGCACTCATAATCCATACTACACATAAGCATTGCACTCATAATACATACTACACATAAGCATTGCACTCATAATACATACTACACATAAGCATATAACTCATAATCCATACTACACAAGCATTGCACTCACAATCCATACTACACATAAGCATTGCACTCATAATACATACTACACATAAGCATTGTACTCATAATCCATACTACACATAAGCATTGCACTCATAATCCATACTACACATAAGCATTGCACTCATAATCCATACTACACATAAGCATTGCACTCATAATCCATACTACACATAAGCATTGCACTCATAATACATACTACACATAAGCATTGCACTCATAATACATACTACACATAAGCATATAACTCATAATCCATACTACACAAGCATTGCACTCACAATCCATACTACACATAAGCATTGAACTCATAATCCATACTACACATAAGCATTGAACTCATAATCCATACTACACATAAGCATTGAACTCATAATCCATACTACACATAAGCATTGAACTCATAATCCATACTACACATAAGCATTGCACTCATAATACATACTACACATAAGCATATAAATCACAATCCATACTACACATAAGCATCGCACTCATAATCCATACTACATATAAGCATTGCACTCATAATCCATACTACACATAAGCATTGAACTCATAATCCATACTACACATAAGCATATAACTCATAATCCATACTACACATAAGCATAGAACTCATAATCCATACTACACATAAGCACATACTACACATAAGCATTGCACTCATAATCCATACTACACATAAGCATATAACTCATAATCCATACTACACATAAACATTGCATTCTGACGGTCATAATCAATACTACACATAAGCATAGCACCCGACTGAGGGTTTATAATCTATACTTCACGTAAACATTGCATTCTGACCGGTTATAACCCACACTACTGCAGAGGGGAGAAATGCGCGGTGCGTACAGTTAAGCGGTTTAACTTGGGGGGGTCAAACAGAGTTGTGCGCGTTGCCCCACGAGGTCTGCACACACGAGGGCACCCGCGTGCGAGAGAAGGCGAGAAGCGGGTGCCACCGAGGTCCAACAGGTGGCTGCGCTGTGACCGGTGGTTGGGGCCCAAGAGTCGTGGGGGGAGTGACGGGAAGAGACTCGTGGGGCGAGTGGCGTGGGCCTTGAGGACTCGTGATGGACAGGGGGTTACAGGCGGGAGTGGGTGGGAGAGACGGGAGTTGTTGTTGTTGCCGGGGACGAAGAGTGAAGACGTCTCGCCGCTGCCGCTGCAGCCGTCAACGGGACCTCGACCCTCACGCCGTCGCCGGGCCGGTGTTGGCTGAACCCCCCGCCCGGGACAGACGGGCGAGCGGGTCTGAGGGAGCGTAGCTGAGGGCAGCGGTGGAGATGCGGAGTTGCTGTGTGCGGAGCTGCTGTGTGCAGAGTCGCTGAGTGTGAAGACGCTGTGTGCGAAGACGCTGGGTGCGGAGTGGCTGTGTGCGAAGACGCTGTGTACAGAGTCGCTGTGTGCGGAGCTGCTGTGTGCGGAAACGCCGAGTACGGAGTGGCTGAGTGCGAAGTTGCTGTGTGCAGGATAAGTGAGGTGCAGAATAGATAAGAGCGGGGAGAAGTCGAGTGTCTGTGACCGCACAGATAGTTGTAGGAGTGCCTACAACTGGCGCAAGAACAGGTGAATCAAGTGTAAGCAGGTGACTTGTTACGACGTGTCGGTGTGAGTGATTTTTGAAGACACTACATTTGGTGCCGAACCTTCTCCGTCATGTCCAAATCGGCGACGAAACGTGAGAACCCGCCTGTTGCGTCGTCCGACGAAGACGCCGAGCAAGACACGCCCCTCCAACAGCTCCGCTTGCCGGAGCTCCGAGCGCCCGCTCCGTCGACGTGTTTCAGTCGGCTCAGGAGTGCGTGGCGAGTCCAGCCACCTCCTCCGCAGAGCTGGATGAACATCGCCGGTCACCTGGGAAGATTTCTGTCGGCCGCCACTCATCTTTTTGAGCGGATGACGGCTGCGACTTCCACTGCACGCCAAGACGCGCTTCCCGCCGCGGTCATGACCGAGGCGACTGGAGCGCTGGACCTTCCCGCCATTTCGGGGGTGGCAGCCATGCTCCACTCGTCCGCCATTTCGGGCGATCGGCCCACGCCGCAGCAGCTGCCACCAAGGTGGAAATCGTTCCCAAGTTCCGACAGCTGCCGCCGGTGCGTCAGTTCACTGCTGCAGGAGGAGATTGGATGGCTTTTCGACGTTGATTCGAGGCCGCCTACATCTCGGTGGGATGGACATCCCAGGAGGCGCTTCAGCCTCTTCCCATGGCCCTCGACGACGACTCGTTAGCCGCTTTTTTCGCCATCCCCTAGTCCGATAGAGCGACCCTCGCGCGCGCCTACACCGAGATGGCCGCTATTTTTGATCCCCCATCTAATGTTCGGAGAAGATTCAGGCTGCGGCGACGGGGAGAGAACGAGATGCCGCTGGCGTATCGCAGTGCACCCCTTGCCTTGGGGCACGCTGCCTTCCCTCGCATGGACAGAGTCGCCTTGGGTTCCCTCGCCTTGGAGCGGCTTCTCTCCTTGGCTCGGGAGTTGGGGGTCACCTTCGCGGTGGCAGAGGAAAACGACCCGACTTCTCTGCAGGTGGCCCGCGGCATCCAGCGCACCTCAACCTTAAGGATTGGCCGGCAGTTGCGGCCAGTATAACGGAGCCGACTGTGGACGAGCAGGCGTGGCCTCCTTCGCCCGGGGAATGGAGGGAAGGAGCGCTCGCCTGCGGCCATCAGCAACGGAATGGCACCCCAGGCTGAGCCAGCCGCCAGGGCGGCCTTCCTGTACCTGCTACAGGTGCGGCTGCCTGGGCCACATCGCCGTCGAATGCCACCGCGGGACCGAAGGGTTCCCGTCGCATCCATCCTCTGGCTTCAACACCTCCTCCTCCCGCAATATACAGGCCCGGAGAGCCTAATGCCCACGGACGGAGCGATGAAGACTCCTTCAGCGGACTATTCACGCCCGAGCGAAACCGTCTCTACCCGGGGGGACGGTCCTGCCGCACACACTCGCTCGCGACGCGTCACTTTTCGTTAATAGGACGGTTTGTTCACGCCATTTCCCTTGTTACTGTTTATTGTTATTGTTCGTTGCTCTTCCATGGTCACTGCTTGTGATTACGTTAGTCCATGGGTCGGTCACAACATATACGCGCACGCTTGCATAGATTTGACAGCCGGGACGGCTGCGTTTTTATTCGTGGGGAAGGGGGGGGGGGGATGATGTAGAGAAGTGAAATAGCATCTGCCACATCAGCAATTAATCCGATTTATACCTTCTGTTGGACAGACGGCACGTAACACCAGCGTAAGACTAAAAGAACACCAAAGAAATATGAAATTATCTCAAACACAACTGTCGGCAGTGGCAGAACATGCTTGCCAACAAGGCCACGCAATTTATTTTGATAACGTTGAAGTATTGTGCAAAACTAATTATTACTGGCCAAGACTAATTAGAGAATCCATTGAAATTGAGAGAAATACAAATAACTTTAATCGCTCTGACAGCTACCGGCTTAGTGTGGCCTGGAAGCGTATTATTAAATAATACATATTACAATTCCTTATTGGAGAAACACATACTAATTAACCGATTACTAGCGTATATAATTACAATAACCCCCCCCCCTCCACCACCTGATTTCTGCACCTGATTGGGTAGTGATTGGGTTCAGTTATTAAATAATACACATTACAACTAATTACCAATCTACAACTGATTACTAATCATAACAATTAACTGATTACTAATCTATTATATAATTACATCTGATCTCTGCACCAGATTGGGTTAAATGATGACGTCACCGTGCTGTTGCTCTATTTAAGACCAGGAGCAGGTAGAGGGCTTCACTATTCTGGCAAATTGCCCGATGATGCTGGATGTAATTACCAGCGAAACGTCGTACTCAAAAATTTTAAATATTGTGAATTCACTCAACACACCGGTGGGCTAAAGCAGTGAACTATTTGTCTTTTGTCAACATAACACATTTTTTACTGATTGACCGTGTCAGGTGGTGGAGGGTTGCGACACATTTATAAATAACGCGATCTAATCCAAAAACCTTTATTATGAATGACAGGGGTATCAGTTGTGAGTAGCCCTCGGCAAGGTAAAGTAAAAGTTAAACGGTAAAACAAGACAAACTTTACCCTACCTTTTACCTTACCACAATACAATCGCTCTACCCTACCTTTTACCCTTTAGCAGGTAAGGTAAAAAGCAACGAGCCTACCTTTACCCTACCTTTTACCCTTACCCCATACACAATTACCCGATTACAGGGTAATTACTAGGGAACTACACATGAAAAAGGTTTGTAACGATAAAAGCTAGGTAGAGCGCTTTATACATATAGAATACTCTAGAATCGGACGTTGAGGCTGTCGACGACACCGTCCTCCATAACCTCCTCGTCCCAGTCGTCTTGGTCGATGGCGATCTCATCAACAACCTGATCAAGTTCGTCATTGCCATCGTCCTCGGACGAACGACAGGCAATAAGATACTGCGCCGCTCCGGCCCAGTTAGACGGAACCTTCAGGCAGCCGACGCCGACGTCCCGACCTCGCTGCCTGGGGCGAGCGCGTTGTGCTTCTTGAGGTGGGCTTTACACCCCGACGCGTTCGTGTGGGTGGAAAACCACTTACGGCAGTGCGTGCTGTACATTGGGATCACAATCTATCCAATCGTGCGTGTGCTCCCATGGGAACACTTGCCGCTGCCTCTTTAGATTGCTGTATCCTGGTATCTTTGATCTCGTCATCAAGAACGTGCTCAGTCTCCATCTGGTCCGACATCAATGATCGAAATTTAAAATAGAGGCCACGGACTGCACCACGGAGCTTTTAGCGGTTAACAAGGTACTGTATTTACTGGGTAATTATTCATGCTACCTTTACCCTACCCCTTGACATGTCGAAACCTTTACCCTTTTACCTGGAAAAAAGGTAATTTACCTTACCTTGCCGAGGCCTAGTTGTGAGTGTGAAGGGACTGGTGGCTACGGGAGGTAATGACAGGGGTATCAGTTGTGAGTGTGAAGGGACTGGTGGCTATGGGAGGTAATGACAGGGGAGTCAGTTGTGAGTGTGAAGGGACTGGTGGCCATGGGAGGTAATGACAGGGGAATCAGCTGTGAGTGTGAAGGGACTGGTGGCTACGGGAGGTAATGCCGGGGGTATCAGCTGCGAGTGCGAAGGGACTAGTGGCTATGGGAGGTAATGACAGGGGTATCAGCTGCGAGTGCGAAGGGACTGGTGGCGACGGGAATGTTCGAGAAGGGAGCGTGGTCAGGCGACGGAAGAGGACGGTGGAGTCTGCCGGTCGAGCGAGTGTCCAGAGTCGGCGAGAATGATCGAGAAGGGGGCTTGGCCTCGTGTTGATAGAAAAGGGAGATGCGCTGGAGACTCGGGGCTGTTGCAGCGAGATCTCCGCCTGATGTCAAGTGAACGTCTTCTATAAAGCGCCATCTCAAGAGAAGTCATTACACTCGTAACGAATTGGCATGTTTTGTTTATGTTTACTAATCGGCTGTGTCGGGCGGTGGCGGGTTTAACGACATTTATATTCACGCGATCCAACCCAAAAAACTTTATTATGGAAAAACAGCTTGTTTGTGCTTTGCGGAGTGATTAAGTTAACTGTTTAACAAAATCAAAACTCGGTCAATCACTTCGAGATAAATTAAATAAGTTTTATTGACATCATTGTGGACTTTACTGCAAGTCTCCCAGCAACTGTCAAATGAAACTTTAAATAACAATTATATAACTAAACACCAGAACCCTCGTCCCATTCAATACAGAACCCGATCGTCCAATAAAGAACCCTCGACACATGCAATGCAGGACACGCGCTCACCTTACGAATGCTACCTTCGTTTGGCTCACACCACGTCAATCAATTACAGTAAAACCTTGGATTGCGAGTAACTTGGTCTACGAGTGTTTTGCAAGACGAGCAATTTTTTAAAATAAATATTAACTTGATAAACGAGCGAGGTCTTGCAATACGAGTACTGGAGTACGGACAGTATTACACTTTGTCTGCCGAGCATCACGTGATCACAACTGAGCCAATGGTTATTCTCTCTCTCTCGCTGCGGGATTGTGGGTAATCGTCTCCCATGCTCGGTCTCAGTCGGCGTGCCTCGCTCGTATAGTCAACATCCGTGCGAGCGTATACTGGTTACTATAGTGTTGTGACCACGAGTGTGTGCGTAAAGCATTTTTTTAAATTGTGTCCAAGTGTAGCGACTGTTCTTTAGTAACTGTACCGCAAGTGAAAGTCGTCCTACACAATGACCCTCCTCTCTCTCGTCTCCCTCACACCAGCTACGATTAAATTTAATTAATACATTTTATTACTTTATATTACATTTAAATAGTAATATAAAAAGGTATTTTGTATTAATCATTTTTATATGAAGACTATTTTTGGGTTGTGGAACGAGTCATCCGAGTTTCCATTATTTCTTATGGGGAAATTCGCTTTGATATACGAGTGCTTTGGATTACGAACACGTTTCCGGAACGAATTTTGCTCGCAATCCAAGGTTTTACTGTAATGGCTTTCCGTTATACACAACTATTGCAATACATGAGCTATATATCCTAACACATCAGACTGTGTTGAATAAACACAGCGTCATATATACGAGCTCGTCACCCAACTGCTCTTGTCACTTAAACACAGCCACAAGACATGAGTTTACAGCTGCAATTCTGGCGGCGTATAAATATATTGATTTTTATTTTATGCCTTCAACTTTTTTTTTTTGCCAAACTCGGCAGTTTGATTGTGCAGTCAGCATTCTTCATTCAGGCACTCAGTTTAAGGCCATGTTCAGAACGGTGGGAAAAAAAGATAAAAAATCAGTCATTCTCGTTTTCATTTTAGTGCCGAAAGTACGTAGCATTCCCCCACATCTATTACATTAAACTGCATTCAGGCACTCATCCATTCATTGTGTCCATCACACCAACTAAAGTCGTATCAAGGGCGACCTTTTGTGAGGGGCTAAGACCCCCCCCCCCACCCGCGCTCAATAACGACGCTCAAATAATCATCAGATGTGCACGGCTGCTCGAGCAGACGACACCGGAGAACAGACGCAGAACAAGCATCGTCCACTCTTCACCCGCTGCCCGACGCAACTCTCGATCCGCACCTGGGGTCGCCTCAATAAGACTTGTGGAGAAGGCAAAGGGGGCGGTGGTGGGGGGGGGAATCCACGTCGGTGCTCGATCTCGCTTTGTCTCAACATCCCGAGTGGAGGGTTGCTGTAGGGCGAGGAGGGGGGGGGGGTGCAATCGGATAGAACGAAGAGGAAGCCTCCAGCCATGGGACCTGCCCACGGGCGGAGGACTCCACCAGCTGCAAGTACGGAGTTAGACTGATGGCCTTAATCTAAGTTTTCTTGTGGTTGTTGTTGTTGTTTGACTTGACCCCCACTGGGATTTTTGCACACAGCGTTGGTGTACGGTGTTTTTTCTGCAATGTTTTGCTGTCTTTTTTTTGGATTTTCTGTTTGCACTTAGTCACATAGTCACTTTAAGATGTTTTCTTGTTCATGTTTTTGTTTTTTGTTTGTTGCGGTTGCACCCGATTCAAGAGCCGAATGGCTCACAGGGCTATACCTAATCAATGAACTTGAAACTTGAACTTCACGACTGGGCTCCGTCCCTGGACAGCCGAAGCAGTCAAAGCGAGGGCTGAACGATGAATCGATTTAAAATCGAAATTTGAAACAATGCGATTAGCAAATCGCAAAGGCTGCGATTTTTTGCGATTTGAAAAGTCCTATTGCTTTCTTATTGAAATTGTTTTATTTTGTATTATTATTATCATAACTTTAATTATTTAACTTTACAAATGTTCTATGTTTGATTGTTCTATTTAAATATTTTTTTGTAAATAAATAAATGTTGGAAGCAATTCATATCTTATAAATTCTCATCCTTACATTCGAATATATAGAGCAGTTCATATTTTGACGGTATCATGTGTTAATGCTCCATCACGTGTTTTAAATCTATTACACAGTGAATATTCAACTGAAGCTTGACTTTTAAAAATGCAATCGCAAATCAAATCGCAATATCTGTCAGAAAAATTGCAATTACATATTTTCCCCAAATCGTTCGGCCCTAGTTAAAGCTCCGTTAGCGATGCTGCTGGAGACTATTTTAATTTGACCTTCAAGGGCGTTCTCGTGATCTCCGCGTATTTTAATGCAATGTCATCTCCGGAAGCATCCTTAGTTCCAAATTAGTGGGTCCCGCTGTTAAGTACATGCGAAGTCCCTGTGAGTCTCAATGCGTCCCAAGATCTAGTACAGAAACAGAGACCCATAGACTGATCTAGTGACCCATTAGGTTGATATGCAATAGATTATTGGATTAAACGGCGTCGAAATGTGACTGCACCTTAAGACACTGGACAGATACATCGAGAAGGCAAGTCAGTTATAGGTCTTTGTGCGAGTCTTTGGGTCTCTGTGCAAGTCTACGCATCTCTGTAAGAGTCTATGGGTCTCTTTGTACGTCTGTGGGTCTCTGAGTCATTGACAATTATGAACCCCTGAGAGAGAGAGAAGCACCCAGGCCCAGGGCTCAAGCAAGACTCGATCTCTGAAGTGCCAACTCGGTGTGGCAGACATGGCCATTACGAACCCCCTGAGAGAGACACCCCCAGGCCCAGGGCTCAAGGCCAGGATCTCAGCAGCGGCAACTCACTGCCGCCTCTGATATGTTTTCCTCGTTTCTTCAACCGACTGAGGTCTGAGCAGACCACCAGGTGAAATTACCCTTGGAGATGAAATATAACAAACTCTCTGGATCTTTCGCTAAAGTCACGTAGGTATCAAATAAAAAGAAATCACGACGTTTCGATTGCAGCACAAGCAATCAACATGATGATTGCCTGTGTTGCAATCGAAACGTCGCGATTTATTTTTTATTCTATTTTCTACCCACGTGACTTTACCGAAAGAACCAGAGGGTATGGATTCCTGCAGTCACGAAAGCTTAAACTCAAGAATGAATAGAACAAAACTACCCTACGGCGACTTGACAACGCGATTCAACAGAGTGCATTCGCCAGGGCATCACTGCCCATCTACCCAGACGGCTGCCGATACCTCACCGCACTGGTCAGCGTGGGTTGGTAAAGGAGGTGGGAGGGGGAGAGGTTGGTGATATCTGAACAGGATCTGTTCAGATATCACTCACAACTGATGCTGGCCATGGCCAGGATGTGACTATGGGGGAGCCAGGTTCAGAATGTGGTGCGCTAATCAGGGCGCCAACGATCGTCTCAATAGCGCGTGTTAAAACAAAACAACATCGGCTCTGAATAACACACGATTCAACTGATGTATCGCGAGCGTCATAATCAATTTGAATTAACTAATATATAAATCGTTAGGCCCCCGAGTTCAAAACACAGTCTTGGGTTGACTCAGCCCACCATCGTCATTGTCATCAACACATATCCAGGTTGGGTAAATTAAGTAACACCTACTTTGTGTTAAGTCAACACTAGTGGTCATTATATGGAATAGACTGGTCCCTGCCATAGGAATGTCCACCATCGGAGATGCAAAGACTTTAAATCAACGGAGGCGATTTTCTACGCGAGTTTTTTTTTGATCGGGCGGAAGTCAAGCGGCGACATTGCTTGGTCCTTCCCCGCAATGTCATTTTTCACGTTGCGATTTGATATCAGAGTTTGCGACGCGGCGACCCAACGCGTCACCAGTGTCCCGTGACTCTGCATTTCACAATTTTGCCGCTCATTGGCGGGTCGGTGCCGAGAGAGATTGCTGAAGCGTCCCCCAACTGCAGGTCACCCGACGCTCGCCGCCCCGAGCCCCGATGTTCGTTAACCGCTCCCATCGCGCTTGCAACGCGCATGCCGTCAGTTACGCCAACAGTCGTGATGTCAACTGCGGTGATGAGGACGTCGTATAATCAATCGCCGTGATGTTCAACTTCTCGAAAGCGCTGCGCAGGATTCGCCCGCTTTCAAAGGGAGGCAGAGTGGACGGCTCGGGGGGCGTGGGGAGGAACCACAGGTGAGTTGAACACGGAGCTGTGGGGCTTTTCACGACCAATATCCACGAGGTTTTTTTGGGTTTGCCCGTGTAAATATAAATGTGTGTCGCTAAACCCGCCGCCACACGGCACGGCCCAATTCGTAAGGTTTGTCACGTAAACCAAAACGTGCGAATTCGTGACTAGTTCAGCACACCGATACATGAAACAGTAAACCCACTACAAAATGTACAATTCCACTACAACGTTCGCCTGATGATGCTGGTTGTAATTACCGGTGAAACGTCGTGCTCGAATTGCAGCTGTGGGTTTACTCTCCCACACACGTTTTTATGTAAGAGACAAAGCTTACTAAATGGCCGTGGCGGGTTTCATGACACATTGATATTTTACGCGATGTAACCCAAAACTCCTCTATTTGTGGATAACCATAGATGAGAGGGAAGGCATCAGCACCCACGCAGTGAGCCGGCACTACCAATATATATTAAAAAACAAAAATTCCGCCAAGAATTACATAAAACGTCTTTAGAAAGTACAAATGTCTCGGGTATTAACTTCCTGGAGCCGTCCCTAGGGGAGACGGTGGACTGCCCCGGGCCCCGCGCTTTGGGGAGGGGGGGGCGCACATCGCACACTTCGACGTCGCGGGGGTGTCAGACGTCATACGCCCGGTTCAGTTTGAAGGCATCGGGGTTAGGCCCACGTGGTGTCGTTTTCCCCGGGCCCCGCACCCTCTCTAAGGACGGCCCTAATAATTATTTATATTTTTATATCAACTTTAGATATTGCTCTTTCATAAATAATGAAATATTTCGTCAGGAAATTAAATATTTAGGCGAAACTGAAGGAGCCAGCGACGATCACCACGTGACGGTATTTTTTCCGAAATGGATGACTACAATTGTCGCGGCTCTCTTAACGTACCGTGTGTCGTAGCGTCTTCGTGGTGAGATTACATTAAGGCATAAGTATCATCATCACCACCACCACCAGCAACACATCATAAACATACTCCCTTTGGTTCTTGCGGTAAAATTCAATCACGACGTTTCGGGCGCAACACAAGCGTCCACCTGATGTTGCGCCCGAAACGTCGTCATTTAATTGATTTTGTTTTCTACCGACGTGACTTTACCGAAAGAACCAAAGAGTATGGATCCCTGCAGGCACGAAAACTTCAAACCTACATCATAAACAACTTGAAATTAAAGCTATTCCTAACCCTTACATTAACTCCGACCCTAGCACAGGCAACAGCCTTAATTATAATCATAAAATGTAAACCTAACACCGACCATAGACCTAACCCGAGCCTCTAACCCTTAATAACAACCAACACCTGGCACCTCACCCCATTTTGTAAGTGTAGGCATTGGGGTAATTGGTCCCGTGCTTGAGTGACGTGACGCCACATCACAGCGAGTAGCCCTAAGCCTAACCCGATTCTAATAGTAACCCTGCTGTCAAAACACAATGGCCCATTCCACTAACCCTCGGCCCAATGCACATGTAGTGTCGTAATGCACGCGCAGCTGGTGAGAGGCACGTGTGGTAATTGAGTGACGCACGTGCGGCTGAGGAGAGGCATCTGTGTGTGGGCTGCGGGTTGGCAGGTCCTGGAAGGTCGGCGAAGTCTAAAGGAATAAAAGCCGGCGTGCTGGAACCCACGGGGGGGTGGGGGGGGAAGTGAGAGTCGTGGTAGCTAATAGAGATTCATGTGTATCATGCGTGGTGCTGTGCGTGCGGTATAGTGTGCGCCTACAACCGGCGCGTGTGGGGAGGTTAATAAAGATAAAGAATGAGCGGGTGTTACGTCACCTTGCCTCCGTGTGAGTTCCGCACTACGCATACTCCAACACGAGCCCTAACCCTAATAACGACCCTGAGCCTCGCACTAAGTAAGATGGGCCCCGGGCAGGACATTCCATGGCTACAACGTGCAATGGTCAAGAAATAATAATAATAACAGCAGCAGCAGCAGCCAAGGAACGGAATGTGCGCAAGTCGTCGCAATGCAGCATGGGAGCGGGCGGCGAGGCCTTCACCCGGCAGTGGAGCGAGCACGGCTGGCCCCGCTCGCCCGTCAGACGGCGCCACGCGGCCCCGCGCCCCTCAAGCCCATGACGTTGGCGATCCCAGGATGCACCTGGGCCTGCAGCGCCTCGCAGGGCAGGCGCTCCCCGTCCACCGTCACGATGCCGCCCTCCTTGCCGAGGGGCCGCAGGCGGAAGGCCCGCACGCGCTCCGCCGTGAGGAACGGGGCGAGCGCCGGCTCCGGCTCCGCCTCGCCGCCGGCGCCGAACAGCAGGCGGACGAGTGCGGCGCGGGGGGCGCCGCGGCGCACGGCCCGCAGGTGGATGACGCCGTCGTCGGCGCGCGCCGCCGGTACCGTCGCCAGGTCGGCGCCCAGGTGCGACTGGTAGAGTCCCAGCACCAGCACGAAGTCGCCCTCCAGGGTCACCCACGATGGGGGAACCGGCTCGTCCAGCGGCGGCAGGAGGTCGTCCTCGGGGCCGAGCGGGTTCACGTCGCCGCCATTGGCGTCGACAAAGGAGTTCGCGGTCCTGTCCGGGCGCGAGGTCCGGCCGGGTTCACTTGTCGGCTCGCCGGGCTCCGCCGTCCCGCGATTGGCGCCGTCGAACACGTCGTCGTCGTCGTCCAAACTCGGGTTGTTGGCTCCAGTGGAGATCCCTCCTCCTCCTGCGCCGCTGCCGCCAACATCGTTCTCGCTTCCCGTCCCCGCCCGTCCCTCCTCGCGGTCGCTCGTCCCGCGATGATTCGTCTCGTCCGGATTGTTGCCCAGACGCTCCAGCACATCGCTGCTGCCAAACACGGCGGCGGCGTCGTCGTCGGCGCCGCCGCCGCCCCCGTGCCCGTTACGGTTCTCGTCCAAGATCTCGTCCGGCGCCGCCCCCTTCCTCCCCGCCTCCTCACCGGCGCCGCGCCTCACGTCCCGCACGTTCCCCGCGCCCGTCTCGCACGGCCCCAGGTCCGACATCTGCCGGCGGAGCCCGGCAACGTCGGCGTCGGCGTCGGCGACGCGGGTGCCGGCCGTGGTGAGGCTGCGAGCGAGGGAGCGCTTGCCGACGGCCGCCTCCGCCGGCAGGAAGGAGAGGCGGCCCGGGTAGCTGCGCAGCGAGAGGAGGCGCACGATGGCGCCCAGCGTGAAGCGCGCGGGCCCCATGGCGCGGAAGCGCTCGCTCTCGATGTCGACGTCGGACACGAAGCCCCACGCCACCGACAGGAAGGAGAAGAGGCGGCGTCCCGAGGCGAAGCGCACCGACACCAGGTCGAGCGGCGTCACGCCGCCCCGGCACAGCAGGAACGCCAGGTGCTGCGCCAGCACGTCGCCCATCACCATGTCGTGGCTACGGTGGCGGGGAGAGAGGCGGCAGAGGAGGGGAGAAGGGGAGAAGGGGAGGAGAAGAGGGAGTGGAGGAGGGTAGGGGAGAGAGGAGGAGAGGAGGCAGAGAAGGGGAGGAGGAGGGGAGAAGGAGGAGAGGGAGTGGAGGAGGGAGTGGAGGAGAGTACGGGAGAGAAAAGAGGGGCAAGAGAGGAGACAGGAGGAGGGTAGGGGAGAGAGGAGGCAGAGGAGGCAGAGGAGGAGAGAAGGGGTGGAGGAGAGGAGAAGGGAGGGTAGGGGAGAGAGGAGGCAGAAGCGGAGAGAAGGGGAGGAGGAGGGGAGGAGGAGGGGAGGAGGGAGGGGAGGGAATGGAGGGTAGGGGAGAGAGAAGAGGGCAAGAGAGGAGACAGGAGGAGTGGGAAGAGAGAGATGGAGGCTTGAGAGGGAAGAAAGGCGGAGCATGAAGGAGGGAATCGGAGAGAGAGAGAGAGGAGATGCAGAGAAGGAGATCGAGGGTTGAGAGGTGATAGCGAGAGGAGGAGAGGATGGGGAGGGGAGGTTAGAGTGAGTGAGTGAGTGGAGTGAGTGGAGTGAGTGGAGTGAGTGAGTGAGTGATGAGGAAAGTGGCCGTGGCGCTCCCACGAGGATGGCTGGGCTATGGTGTCCGGGTTCGCGTTGGGGCCAGCTGTGTGTGTCTGGGTGTTGGTGTTGGGGCTGGACGTGTCTGGGTTCGGTGCGAGTGTTGGGGCCAGCTGTGTGTGTCTGGGTGTTGGTGTTGGGGCTGGACGTGTCAGGGTTCGGTGCGAGTGTTGGGGCTCGCTGTGTGTGTCTGGGTGTTGGTGCGAGTGTTGGGGCTAGCTGTGTGTGTCTGGGTGTTGGTGTTGGGGCTGGACGTGTCTGGGTTCGGTGCGAGTGTTGGGGCTAGCTGTGTGTGTCTGGGTGTTGGTGTTGGGGCTGGACGTGTCTGGGTTCGGTGCGAGTGTTGGGGCCAGCTGTGTGTGTCTGGGTGTTGGTGTTGGGGCTGGACATGTCAGGGTTCGGTGCGAGTGTTGGGGCTAGCTGTGTGTGTGTGGGTGTTGGTGCGAGTGTTGGGGCTCGCTGTGTGTGTCTGGGTGTTGGTGCGAGTGTTGGGGCTCGCTGTGTGTGTCTGGGTGTTGATGTTGGGGCTGGACGTGTCGGGGTTCGGTGCGAGTGTTGGGGCGAGTGTTGGTGCGAGTGTTGGGGCGAGTACCCCGTGTAGTGGTTGATCGATCCAGCCAGGGCATTCCCAGATCCGCACGGGAAGATCCCCAGAGGAATCCGGATCGCGTCTTTCCAGTCCGGACGAGACATGAGGCCATTTATAACCTGAGACACACAGAGAGACCCATGGATATACAATGACAGAGACACACACACGTACATATGGTGGCACGGAGACTCGAATACAGAGGGACACAGAGAAACAAATATAGAGCTGCAAAAAACAAAATACAAAGATCTCCAGTCGTGCCTTTAACAGACTGTTGGGGCAAGTCCGTGTTACCGGGTATCTGTGAAGGCCGGCACAGCACACGAGAGTGTGGGTGGCCAGCACCACACCCTTAGTCTCCCCCCATTGCTGATGACTACACACCGCACCAGGTGCTCGTTTTAAGTCCGAGTTGACCTAGCGGAGGAAAAGTCCTGGTTCAGATATTTGTCACTGACCCTGACCGTGAGCGGGAATCGAACTTGGGCTGCCAGGTTCGTAGCGCGGCGCGCTAACCACTGTCACGTGAGGATATATCCGGGTCGCTGACGGATCACAACTCGTCACGACGATTGGCTCTGCCGGTCCTGGTCCATAGCCAATGGGGGTAGCCTAGGGGCGTGGCCCTGACGTGACGGGAAGGTGACAGCTGTAAGTAGATGATTGGTTCTGCTGGCTTTAGCCACAGCCAATGGGGAGAAGAGTCAGGGGCGTGGTCACGGGAGCCTACGGTGGAGTCTAGAAGATTCCATAGAGGCTAACCAGGATTGGTGGAAAGGTACCATGTGACCCGGGTATTAAATAGGGGTGGAGACGAACAACACGTGGTCAGAACTGGAACGAACGAAGGGAAGAGGCCATGCGAGAGCGGGGGTCCAGGCTGCCACGTGGCTGTGCGCGTCTCTCTCTCTCTCTATCCCTCTCACGCTGTCTGTCAGCAGCGTGGAGGAGTGTTGTAAAGAAAGACAAATAAAGACCGGATTCCAGAAGTCGCTTCCACGACCTTTATTACACCACTACACCAATGCTCCCACACATCGCTAACACAGACGACAAAGACCCCCCGTATAGCCTTAACAGACTGTAGGGGCAAGTGCTGTTAGCGAGCACCTATGAAGGCCGAAACAGTACACGAGGGGGTGGGTGGCCAGCACCACGCCCGACCGCCTTTGTCTCCCCAGTGGCGATATTTACACACCGCACCAGGTACTCATTTGAGGCCGAGTCGACCTAGGGGAGGTCCAGGACCGGTTCAGATAATCGTCACTGGTGTTGGAAGTGAGCGGGAATCGAACTCGGGTCGCCAGGTTCATAGCGCAGCGCGCTAACCGCTACACAGACGACACACACACACACTACACACCCACACCCAACACACTACAAATACTACACACTACACACCACACACACACTACACACACTGCACACACTGCACACACACTCCACACACTACATACTACACACACACTACACACACACTGCACACACACTCCACACACTACATACTACACACGCACACTACACACACACTACACAGAGCGACAGGCCAGGCGACTTGCAAAACAGCGTCACTTACGCAGCCGATGAAGAGACGGACGGTTTGATGTTGATGATGTGGTACCCGTGATGATGGTGTGGTGATGGTGTGATGTTGATGATGTGGTACAGGTGATGATGGTGTGATGATGGTGTGGTGTTGATGATGTGGTACCCGTGGTGATGGTGTGATGTTGATGATGAGATGTTGATGGTGTGATGTTGATGATGCGGTTCCCGTGATCAGCTCACCTCAAACAGGAGTCCGTCTCCCGACACGATCACGATCCCGTCCCATTCGGAGAGGTCCATCTGCTGAACCAAGGTGCTTGCATGCCCAGCCCTCTCTGTCAGACAACATCAACATCAACATCATCAGCATCATCAACATCATCAACATCATCAACATCATCATCATCAGCATCATCAGCATCATCAGCATCATCAACATCATCAACATCATCAACATCATCAGCATCAACAACATCATCAGCATCAACATCATCAACAACGCATCACAGGCTGCGGTGGTTATGCAAGTGGCCTGTAATCCAGCACCGTGGAGGTAATTCTAGATTTGAAGTTTCTTTCGGTAAAGTCACGTAGGTGAAAATAAAGATAATTAAATTAAATTTTTAAAAGTTTTTTCATTTTTATTCTATTTTATTTCATTATTATTTATATTTTCACCTACGTGACTTTACCAAAAGAACCAAAGAGTATATACTGTGGAGGTAGCGAGGGTTGTTGTATTACCACAAACTCCCATGGTGTGGCGATGATGATGATATTGTGATGGCGATCTTAATGGTGTACCCGTGGTTGTGGTGATGATGTTAGAACGATGATGATTCTGTGTTGATAATGATGTTGCAATGGCGATATGCATTGTGTACCCATGGGGATGGTGTGGTGATGATAATCGTGTGATGGTCGTCGTGATAGAGATGGTGAAGATATGATGGTACTGCTGTTGGTGTTCTCATAGTAATGGTGTGCTGATGGTGTGATGTTGATGATGTGGTACCACGTGATGACGGTGATGTTGATGGTGTTGATGATGTGGTACCACGTGGTGATGTTGATGATGTGGCACCACGTGATGATGTTGATGATGTTGGTGATGTTGATGATGTGGTACTACGTGGTGACGGTGATGTTGATGGTGTGGTACCACGTGATGATGATGTTGATGTTGATGTGGTACCACGTGATTATGATGTTGATGATGTGGTACCCGTGATGGTGGTGATGTTGATGATGTGGCACCACGTGATGTTGATGTGATGTTGGTGATGTTGGTGATGTTGATGATGTGGTACCACGTGATGATGATGATGATGTTGATGGTGTGGTACCACGTGATGATGATGATGATGATGTTGATGGTGTGGTACCAAGTGATGATGATGTTGATGTTGATGATGTGGTACCACGTGATGATGATGTTGATGATGTGGTACCCGTGATGGTGGTGATGTTGATGATGTGGCACCACGTGCTGTTGATGTTGGTGATGTTGATGGTGTGGTACCACGTGTTGATGATATTGATGGTGTGGTACCACGTGATGATGATGATGGTGATGGTGTGGTACCACGTGATAATGATATTGATGGTGTGGTACCCGTGATGATGATGTTGATGATGTTGATGATGTGGTACCTGTGATGATGGTGTGGTGTTGCATGTCGGCCTCCTCCATCATGGGGTGCAGGATGCGCTGACATCTCAGCTGAGCTTTCTTCGTCCCACTGAACGGGTTCACGAGGATGAGGAGGCGGCGGCGACGAGGTGGGAGGCCTGAGGGGCTTCTCTCTCCTACATCATCAACAAGTTCATCAGCATCACCATTATCACCTGAGCCATTATCACCATCATCACTGCCATCATCACAACATTAACACCGACTGCTTCGCCAACGTCACCATCAACACTCACAGCATCATCAACATCATCATCATCATCATCAATCGCATCAACATTACAAGCATCACCAACAGCATCACCATCAACATGCACAGCATCACCAACATCACCGTCAACTATAACAGCACCACTGGCGTCGTTAAAATCGTTAATAAATTCATCATCATCATCTATATATTATCATAGTGTGTTTTTGTTTGCATTTTGACTGCAAGTATTGTGGTTAATGCAGACGTGAATCCTTGTAAAAAGGTTTCATTTTTGTTGCCATAAAAAAGGGGAAAAACAATATTATTAAATTCATCATCATCATCAAACTCAAACATCATCGCCAACGTTTTTAACACCATCCGAGACATCAGTGGCTCTGGCTCAGCGTCTCTTAACGTGACCACTATGAAACCCCGGTGAGAGGCACAGAGAGACACACACACACGCGCGCGCGTGCACGGCCCCGCCAGATTTATAATTCCCTTTGAGCTGGTAAATCTATTCATGCAGAGTGTGTTTGAATGTTCTCTCGCGGCCGGCACGGGAGCCATTAATGAGCTTATATAAAGGGGGCGCATTCTCTACGGATATATTTATAGATATTGCACATTTACTCCACTCCAGATTCACTCCACTAGACGCTCCAGCCATAATGCAGGTGTTTTGGGTTAGATCGCTCAATGTTGTGGCTTTGCAATGTTGTGGCTTTGCAATGTTGTGGCTTTGCAATGTTGTGGCTTTGCAATGTTGTGGCTTTGCAATGTTGTGGCTTTGCGATGTTGTGGCTTTGAAATGTTGTGGCTTTAAAATGTTGTGGCTTTGCGATGTTGTGGCTTTGCAATGTTGTGGCTTTGAAATGTTGTGGCTGTACAATGTTGTGGCTTTGCAATGTTGTGGCTTTGCAATGTTGTGGCTTTGCAATGTTGTGGCTTTGCGATGTTGTGGCTTTGCAATGTTGTGGCTTTGCAATGTTGTGGCTTTGCAATGTTGTGGCTTTGCAATGTTGTGGCTTTGCAATGTTGTGGCTTTGCAATATTGTGGCTTTGCAATGTTGTGGCTTTGCAATGTTGTGGCTTTACAATGTTGTGGCTTTGCAATGTTGTGGCTTTGCAATGTTGTGGCTTTGCAATGTTGTGGCTTTGCAATGTTGTGGCTTTGCAATGTTGTGGCTTTAAAATGTTGTGGCTTTGCAATGTTGTGGCTTTGCAATGTTGTGGCTTTGAAATGTTGTGGCTGTACAATGTTGTGGCTTTGCAATGTTGTGGCTTTGCAATGTTGTGGCTTTGCAATGTTGTGGCTTTGAAATGTTGTGGCTTTGAAATGTTGTGGCTTTGCGATGTTGTGGCTTTGCGATGTTGTGGCTTTGCGATGTTGTGGCTTTGCAATGTTGTGGCTTTGCAATGTTGTGGCTTTGCAATGTTGTGGCTTTGCAATGTTGTGGCGTTGCAATGTTGTGGCTTTGCAATGTTGTGGCTTTAAAATGTTGTGGCTTTGCAATGTTGTGGCGTTGCAATGTTGTGGCTTTGCAATGTTGTGGCTTTAAAATGTTGTGGCTTTGCAATGTTGTGGCTTTAAAATGTTGTGGCTTTGCAATGTTGTGGCTTTGCAATGTTGTGGCTTTACAATGTTGTGGCTTTGCTGTCCAATACACCGGCGTGCTGTACTAGTAACTAATTGACATGTTCTGTTTACACAACAACCCTTACTAATTGGCTGTGGCTGTTTTTAACGACACATTTATAAATTTACGCGATCTAAGCCCAAAAACCTCTATTGTGGATGATATTGTTCGCGAAAGCCCTACGTGTTAACCCAGATGCGACAGATTCACACAGCTACACCCACGACTACTCTTGTTATCCTCCTATCTCTTCGGTCTCTCTCTGTGCCACGGAGAAGGGCAATTCCCCAAAACGTTGCCTATACCGTTCCTTTACGGGGCAGCAGTGTTATTGGCCAGTGTGCCGAGTTTTGAATGTTCACACAATAATAGGATTCTCAGGATTTACCGGCTCAAGAATGTGGACGTGAACCGATGAAAGACGACCGGCCCGACCAGTCTCGCCTCTTAATAGCAAAGTTATTTGTGTAATGTCACCTGTACGGGGGACATTGTTGGAATGTGATCATGGATATAAGCGTGGTGTGAGTGTACGTTCTTGTGTGTGCGGGGGGGGGGCGGTAGTGTAGCAGCAAGCGTGCCGTGCTACGAACCTGCCGACCCGGGTTCGATTCCCCGCACGACCAACACCAGTAATGATTTTCTGAACCGGTCCTGGGCCTCCCCTAGGTTGACTCAGACTTAATATGAGTACCTGGTGCGGTGTGTAAACATCACCATGCAAACTTTCATAGGTGCTCGCTAACAGCACTTGCCCCAACAGTCTGTGAAGGCTACACGGGGGATCTTTGTCTTGTGTACAGCACCATGTCACATATCCGGCTCGTTCGGAACCGAGGTACAGGCAGATATGTGAATTGGCCGGATTTTCGAACATGTGGAGAAAGTGCAAACTACACCACCGCGCACAAACACTACGGTGGCCGGTTAATTGATCAGGGGGAATATGTGACGGTCAGATAAGCAACATTGTAGTGTGCGAGTGTGTACGTGTGTTGGTGTGTGTGTTTGTGCGTGTCAAGGAAGACGTGGCGCTGAGTGGACTTGCAGATGACTGCTAGAGGCACTGTCAAGATTGGCCTCCCTATGGAGGAGGCTCGTGAAGGAAGTTACCGGGCGGTTCGAGGGAGTCACCCTTCAACAACAGGGTGGAGGAGCGGCGCTCACAACAACGAGCGGAGCCCCGGGCGGCTAAAACGCGCAATCTGGCAGAGTGGGGGGGGGGGGGCACAGGTGGTGCATCTGCCAGTCATCTCAATCAGAGACCTGTTACCAAAAAGCCTACAACAGTTTCTGTGGCACTATGAGACCTCCTTTACCAGTGGCAAAATATAGTAGTAGCTTTTTACCCTTTAAACTGGTACAAAAACTGACACCTTTATACAAGGCATCATGTTTGCAATAACCACAACACAAGCATTTTGACTGCTTGTGTTGTGGTTATTGCAAACATGATGCCTTGTATAAAGGTGTCAGTTTTTGTACCAGTTTAAAGGGTAAAAACCTACAGTTCCTGTGGCCTCAACGTGCACCTAGCCTGGCACAAGCACTGTGATGACGTGACCGCCACTGACTGGCGAATGGCGGCTGTTATTGTTGTTGCTGTTCGCTGACGGCACCTGTCCCAACAGCCTGGGCGCCTGTGTCCGTGTTTACACACAACACTGCCCTGCTCATTTATACCGCCGTGTACTTTTATGCGCTACAGTACTGCGACTGCGCGCGCGTGGGTTGTGGTCACGGAGTGGGAAGTAGTGGTGCGGTGAGTCGAGTGGCACACCAACCACTCGCTAACCCAGCCAATGCTGTTCTTGATCAGGATTAGCGTCCGTGTGATTCATTGTTTGCTGCAGGGGTACTGCGTTTGCGCTCATAATATAAATTTTGCCGCATTTGTTAGATTTCTCCCGTGACGCGGCCGTGACGGCACCGATAATTATCTATTCGCTTTATCGCTGCGAAACGTCAAAGTGAATTTCTGCCCAAGTAAGTGAGCAATGACGCCACTGGTGCTCACCTGTCTGCGGCCCTGCAGAGCGAGTCGTTTGTCATTCAACGCTTCGATGATGGGGGGGGGGGGAACTTCCCCACAGCGCGGCGCTCATTATCAGACCCCCAGAGGGACGATGGGCTGCGGTAACACACAACCAGGATTTCAATTTCGCTAAATCTTCCAATTGCGAGTGGCTTGCTAGACCACTGAGCCACCTGACTGGATTCTATTGTTCCACTTTTTGGTTTTCTGTCCTGACGGTGACCCCAGATCACTCTTGAAAATCCTGTTCTCTTCAGAGTTTTAACCAGGTTCAACAAACACACTCCAGTGTCAAATAATATCAGAACCTATTCCTGGGTGTGTGTCTATACAGTATGCGGGTGTGTGCGTGTGTGTAGGGGGATGGGTGGTGGTCGCGGGTTGCCGATGATCTGGCAATTGCTGCTTACTCAGAGGAGGAGTTGGAGGTGCTGCTGCTGAACCTGGAGGTGGGGCCTTACGATCAGCCCCACCAAAACGAAGCACCTGCCTGGGCATTTTGTACCATCGTACACTCCACCCCCACAACTCCCAATCGGTGATGGGGCAGTTGTGGGGAGAGTGGAGAGTTTCCCATACCTTGGCATTGTGCTCATGACCTGGCTCCAGTTTAACAGCAGAGGTCTCACTCCGAATCAGTCGAGCGGCATTATCTATTAATCGTTTGCGTAACGCTGTGTGGAAGCTACCTGGTCTGTCGCTCTGCACGAAGCTTCAGGTCTTCTCGGCCACAGTCATTCCCTCCCTTCTCTACGCTTGCGAAACGTGGACCCCCGTAATGGAACATCTTTGCCAGTAAGAAACATTTAGGCTGGCCTGCCTACGATCAATCCTGGGTTTAACCAGGCTGGATTGTGTGAGGAGCTCACAAATCCTCGAAAGATCTGGACAAAGTCCCATCGGTGAGCACCTCCGGCAAGCAAGGCTGCGTTGGTTGGGCCATGTAGCCCGCATGCCCAATCACCGCATGCCTAAACAGCTTTTGTTCGGCCGAAACGAGGGAGCTAAACGGGCGCGGCACGGGCTGGAGAAGAGATGGAGTGACGTGGTACAGGAGGACGTGGAGCTGAGTAGACTTGCCGATGACTGGTACCAGCGGTGTCAAGATCGGCCTCTGTGGAGGAGGCTCGTGAAGGACGCTACTGGGCAGTTGGAGGCAGTCGCCCTCCAACAACAACGGAGGGTGGAGGAGCGACGCTCACAACGAGCGGAGCGCCGGGTGGCTAAAGCACAGCAAGTTGGCAC